CCTTCACTAGAATTTTTCGCTACGTCAAGGAGATCCAATAGTTTATATATAACCAAAAGGATAATATATAAATATGCCGTTTAACATATCTTCAGCTGACATTTATGCCCTCTAACTTTGGATGTGCATAAGTAGACACTTAAATTTGTATAAAATTAAACAAGTAAACACACGTCTTATGTGACATAATAGATGTAGGATGCCACAAATGACAAAATTGTCATGTAGGACGCCACAAAAAACAAATGTATCTATTTAATACTCATAAAAAGTTCAATAATATTGCCCACTCAAAAATAATTTGTCTATCATCCAGTTTGTTGTCTATGTGGTGCCATAAATGAAAAAAGAAGGATAAAAAATCAAGAAAAAAATGTCCCTTATCGGCTGACACAAAGAAAAACAACGATCTAGATGGATATAAAAGAATAGGAAGGAGCAACAAGAAACATACTTACCTGGATGGGGTCAATGGGCGATCAATAAGACCCATGGCCTAGGTTTGTGACCTCCATTGCACTTCGGAGGGGTGCCTACCTAAGATCGGCCCAAGTGGTTGAGCCTACGTCATAATTTGTTATAGCTGGGGCCAGCGTTCGCGCGGCCCCTTCCCAAATCTTCAATAAAATCTTCATTTAATTGATAGAATCTGTATAATCATTAGTGTGAGCAATCACTTGGCTGATTGATAAAAATGAGCTTTCATTCAAATGCCGCTCTGACCCTTCAACAACATCTTCCTTCTATCTACTTGAATAATTGATTTTTCTTCCCGAGCTGCGGAATTATCGAGTATGATCAATAGAGTTTCATATTTGCTTGTAACTTGATATAATAGAAGTTTGAGCCAAAACTACTGAATCTTGACAAAGCCATTATTATAACGAGTTTGATCAATAGAGTTTCATATTTGCTTGTAACTCGATATAATAGAGTTTGAGCCAAAACTACTGATTCTTGACAAAGCCATTCTTATAAAGGTAGCTCCGCCACTGATTATGTTGGAAATTTTATATTCCCAAGGACTTTAATATTTGGTGACCGCCATTGCACAATGGAGGGGTGCCCGCCAAAGGTCAGCCCAAGTGGTCGAGCCTATGTCATAATTTGTCGCAGTAGGGGCCTACGTTCATGTTCATGTGGCTCCTACTCAATTCTTAAGAAAAAATTTCTTGTTTTGTATTTACTTTGTGTTCTTGTATCAAAACGGTGAGCTGATGAATGCTTGATCTTTAAATTTTCAATACATGGAATCATCTCCCCCCTCACCAGAAGCACTCTGGGGCACACCTTCAATTTCTTCGTTTTTGAGAAGTCCTTTCTTTTAATTATCAGGTCCGTCATGAGTGATGTCGAAATCAGTTCCTTCGGGTGGGCACGTCAAGCCCTGAAGATCCAAACTAGACGGAAGCTCTAAGATCTTCTAAACATGTGTGATGCATGACATCTAGCTACTCAAACATGTACTAGCATACACAAGAGTTCGAGCAACATTGATTATAAGGCCAACTTAAAGTAAACAACAGAAACCTGCTTTGTTTTCTTCTTCTGCCTATTAGGTCCTTTGCTATAAACTTTTTAAAAAACACAACCTGCATTCGAGTTCAGCTATTCAAGATGCTCAGTTCGCGACATTTTATCCATCATCTTGTGAAAACATATCTCCTTATAATCACAAAGATACCAAAGCGAAATCATATCTTAAATTAGTTAATCGTGAAAGTATAAAACAGGACAGCTTAAATAGTTTCTATTTGAAAAACATGTTAGATTTTCAATCTTAAAATTACTGAAAGAGAAGCAGAGAGCAACATTATAAAGGAGTGAGTGAGGTGAGTACCACATCTATAAACAACGACTTAAACAAACTTTGTCCCAGTATAAAAATGCAGCACAGATAGGCAATAATGTTGGGTTATGAAGGTGAATATGACGTCATGCGGAAGCTTATAATTTGCAAATCATATGAGGATAAATTAGACGACACATAAAACTATACTAAAAAACATAATATTATTATCATATGACCAATTGGCCCACATAATCAAAAACTAATAAAAAAAACATTAAAACTGTAGAGAGTAAAAATCTCCCCATAAACAAAAGTCTCTAAATGACTACATTGTGGATTCTATTGTGTTATGCTATGAGAATAAGGATCTTCAATTTATAGATCTCCAAACTATTCCTCTAAGGAAAGAATAAACCAAATATGGAAGAAAATTATATTTTCCTTTCAAGAAAAAGTTCAAGCATTTATGGTAATACTTTGACTTTTCTTTAAGGAAATAAATAAACTTCAAATAAGGTAAGAGAGAATAAATCTCCACATAAACAAGACTCTTAAATGACTACATTGTGGATGTTATTGTTGTTGTGTTAGAAGAAACAAACCTTACATTTATAGAGTCCTAAAACCTTTCCTACTAGAAAAAGGGAGTCCTAAAAGGAGAGAATAACCAAATATGAAAGAATATTATATTTTCCTTTCAAGAAAAGTAAAAACATTTATGGTAATGTTTTGTCTTTTCTTTAAGGAAAAATAAATCTTAAATTATGGTAAGAAAATTAGGGCAAAACCCTAACAAATAAAACTCACGCAGCCACGCAGTGAGCACAAAGCGAACTATTCTTTCGCCTTTTACTAAAGAATATCGTGTGCGCGCGGCAATCAGTGGCATACGCCAATTTTTGGAGGGATTCTCTTCTTTAGAGGACCCCAACAATACTAGTTTTAACCTTTTCTATGTGTCTTATTCATAGTAACATATGTTTATATTCTTATATTAAAATGGAAAAACTACAGAATATGGCAAACATAACTATATATTCAAGAAAAATAGCTACATATTTTTTTTTCATAATATATGGATATAACTATACAATAAATAGCAAAGTTAATTATATACAAATAAATAAGTTTTTATATACATTAATATAAATAAATACAAAATAGGAAAGTTATTATTGAATGCCTAATTAATTATTGCAGGCACGTTTTACTGATCTTTTCCCAATGTTTACCATCATCAACTTTTTCTCTTTCATGCCTAATTAATTTGGCTTAAAGTATTTTAATTAATGAATAAGTGAATTTCTTTCTGGGCAATTAAGAATCGTTGATAGGCTTCATTTTTGTATGCATATTATTTGTATCTTATTTAACTATATTTATGTATATTAATATTTAACTATATTTTTGTATGCATATTCGTTGTATCTTATTTAACTATATTTATGTATATTAATATTTAACTATATTTTTGTATGCATATTCGTTGTATCTTATTTAACTATATTTATGTATATTAATATTTAACTATATTTTTGTATGCATATTCGTTGTATCTTATTTAACTATATTTATGTATATTAATATTTAACTATATTTTTGTATGCATATTCGTTGTATCTTATTTAACTATATTTATGTATATTAATATTTAACTATATTTTTGTATGCATATTCGTTGTATCTTATTTAACTATATTTATGTATATTAATATTTAACTATATTTTTGTATGCATATTCGTTGTATCTTATTTAACTATATTTATGTATATTAATATTTAACTATATTTTTGTATGCATATTCGTTGTATCTTATTTAACTATATTTATGTATATTAATATTTAACTATATTTTTGTATGCATATTCGTTGTATCTTATTTAACTATATTTATGTATATTAATATTTAACTATATTTTTGTATGCATATTCGTTGTATCTTATTTAACTATATTTATGTATATTAGTATTGCTAAATAGTAATTGCTCACACGGTTTCGTCTTCTTTAGCCATTTTTATCAAGGAATATCAGTAACATAACTTTGTTCGGGATGAATTTATAATAGGATTTATTGTGGCTCCTAAAATACACACATTGGTTATAACATGTTCATGTTTAAAGTTAAATCCAATAAAAAATAGTTGTATGCAAATAAAATCACTTTTATTCAATAATTGTATATTTACTCAAAAGGTATATCCTAAATATATGGGTATGTATTCCTGTGTATTTTTAGTTAAATGTATTTTAGTTTTTACCTTCATTGAATTTTTAATTAACGTTTTTTCTAAGTTTTATTCAATCATTATTATGACATATCAATACCACATCTTTTGAGACAACAAGAGAATGGAGTATTTAAACTGATAAGAATATAATCGGGTATGTCTTAAAATAAGTAATTATTAGTTCTAATGTTAATAATGGAAAGTTGCTCATTGTATGGACGTAAATAAGGACAGTGGATTATATTTAGAGTCAATTCTTTATTTAGTTTATTGTACTTAAAGATGTATTAGTGTATAAATAGAAAAATAAAAAATGTATACAAAAATACAGCGAAAAAAAGATATAAAATGTAGTCATTTATTGTAAATAACATACTTATAGCTATTGAAATTCAGTAACCCTATAAATATATTCATTTTTGTAAGTTGCTCTATTATAATATAGCGACTCTTGGTGAAGGGTAGATAAAAATTGACTCAGAGTTCTTCAATCATTCGATATTATTGAACATCTTTGAATCGTGATTTCTGATCAAGGGTCGAGGAATATTGACAAGAGGGAAATGATAGAGGAGGAAGTTCTAGTTGTGAAACAAAATAAATGCAAACAGGGTTCTCAATTATTATTTGAACACAGAGAATTTAGACTAAAGCTACTGCGCTTGGCTGAACCCGTAAGCAACACATTGACTTTGCCCGAGCATAGAATTAGTTAAAGTGCACACAAATGTATCAAGACACCACAGTAATAACAAGGAAAAAAAACGAAAAGGATGAATATCAGATTGCCCAGTGCACATCATAGTATCGTTTTATGCAAGTGCGTTCGGTCTCCTTTGAACATTTTTCGACTTTATCTGGTTTTGTTCAACAACAATCAACTAGCTGTTTTAACAAGAGATCTGATTTGTAGATAAGATCTACAATAAGCCTATCCTTCGGATAAGTTGGATCCGTCATCACAGTATGAAGCAAAGAAAATTAAACAAAATAAAATGCGTCTCAACTGAATGATATCCATAGAAAAGTTATGTAATTTGGCAATTATAGGAGTAATAATGTTTTCTTGAATATGAAATATCTACAGAGGAGTTTTTCTCTCCCACCATCAAATATCAAGGTAATGGCTCTTGCGAATCTCCCAACCGCGATAAATGCAGATAAGCATCAGTACCTGTAAAGACATCAACAATTGAAGCCAACTAAAGTATATCTTGTTATTCAATGTAGTGCTTAACCGTACCATTGCCATAAAAAAACTATTTAAATCCTATTCCATGTAGTCATAATCTTCTGTCATTCATATATATTTACTTCTTCTATCTACAAGATAAAAGTTATTAGGGTGGACTCATTATCCACATAATTTCAGATTGTGCATCATTACCCCTCCAAAATCGGATGCTGGAGATGCACACATAACAGCTTCTTACAACCTTCACAAACACTTGTCCTAAATATTTAGTCCAATTTTAACAACACTAATGCAAGGGCTTAAAGAATGTGTTCATCACATCAACACAGTGAGATCTTAATTCATAAACCAGCAGAAGATATTTCCAGGATTTAAATAAAGTCATAATCACTATTTCACGGGGTTCCTGCCACACCTAATCTCTGTCAAAGTCTTTAAAATGTCTCTGACCTTGTGTGTTGCTCTTGCTCATTCGCCTTGACATAAAGGACACATAACATCCACTTCAGATAAATTAACGTCTATAATCATTTGTTTTTATAAAAATTTATTATAAATATGAAATCAAAATCCATCCCTTTTCTTTAAAAATAAAAAAGAAGAAAAAAAAATCCCAAACCTTTCTCCCCTTTTGGCACGTTCCCATCTTTCCCTCTACTACCCATAACCATCACACAAAAACATTAAAAGAAAAGTTTTATCTTTTTGTTACATTAACTGTTCTAAATGGGAGATAAAATCAAGAGAATAATGCACATATTTATGCACATTTTATCCAACTCAGCGGTAAAGTTGCCGCATATGCTCAATCAATGCTCAAAAGGGTTTAAATTAGTGTGTTTCAACAACCATAGGTGTTTGAATGAAACTCCGTGGAGCAGAGGTGGCAGGATGTCAAATTGGTACAAATAGAGGTGTGTATTAGATTATTCAGCCTTTGAATTATAGTACCAGATTATTTATATCTATGTGAGGTAATAAACATCTGAAATTTGTATAGGCGCACCCAGCCAAGCGACCAATTCCTTTGTTAGTTACATGATATTTCTAGGGCCCTGTATAAGCATATATGATAACACAACTAACCAGAAAAACATCTACCAAAATATTATTCCAGTCTAGTAATCTGAAGATTGAAATTCATGAAAACAAGGGAGAGAGGTACTGTAACATACCATAGCCTTCCATGGAGATAATTTGCAAATCCCCTCCAAAGTAGCGAGCATATAAACGACTAATTGGAAGTCCATATCCATAACCAGCTAACGTAGACACAGTAGCCAAATCAATTGTATCAAGGTCTGAATGCTCATCCAATGGATTCCTGGCAGTACTGTAGAGATAAGTAAAAATTTTGGGAAGGCCACTTCTTGGTATACCACCCCCTTCATCTGAAATCTACAGAGCACATAAACCACATTTGATAAGGATGGGTAGGAAATATAATAATGCAATCCTTAGATAGGACACTTTGAGAAGGGATCATGCCTTGATAGTAACATCCTCTAGACCATCCGCAACTATTATTCTAACAGGAGGGGGAACTTTGTCCGAGTCCACAAATCGCTCTTCCACAGCACGCAAGGAGTTCTTAACCAATTCAAAAACCATCAAATGCAGATGCGTTGGCACATAGCTGTCATGAATCCCAGAAAAAGAGAGATAAATGTATGGTATAAAGCAAGGGAAGCAAGACTTTCCACAACAACTAGAGTCCTTGAACATTTACATCAATAAATTTTGGGACTAACGGAATAAGAGAAAGACAGAGGCAGCAAAGAATACCATGGAACTAAAAAGGTGGACAAGATATATCTAGTTTACTGGATAATGAGAATGAATTAGGAGCAAACGACGTACGGGAATGTAAAGTTTGGGTCCCCATAAATGTTGACCTTAGGTGCACTGCCATATTCACGCAAGCAAATAGAACGGGCATCCTCGCTAGCATCACGTGCAACCTCCAAGGGGGACATTTTTGTATGTATATAGCCCACACAATCAGGAGGTGGATTAGGATCATGTAGGGCGACATGCTGCCCTGTGTTTGACAGGGATTCAACAGGTAAAAATGCCACAATATGTATAAATAAAATAAAATAAAATAGTAGTAAAGAGAAGAGAAAGAGTGAAACCAATAAGCATGCGGATGCCAATTCTAGACATGTAAAAGCGATCAAGAAACTGGTGTATCTCATCCAAATCCTTATAATCAATCTTAGGGTGTAGATCCTTTTTTAGTTGTTGAACTCCCAAAGCCATCATAGGTACAACATTGTTGTGTCGTACTTTAACCAAATTAATCATTTTTGTGAATTCCAACTCGTCATTCTCATCTTTTATATCTGGAAACGATCTAAGATCACGGAAAGAATCCAAATACCAATCTCGAACCTAATTAAGAAAGAAAGGTTTTAGAACAAATGAAATAAAAGAGCATTAGTAGTAGATGAGTGAGTGAGTACCTTTAGAACAGCAGGCTTGAGAGATAAACCATAAGGAAGAGTTTGTAGGTCAATAACCCTACGAGCAATGCGCATAGGGAGTTCCTTGTGAAGGAATTGAGAAGATATGAGCAAATTGCGGGGAGTGGGTTTGGAACCGAACTCCATCATGTACTTGAGACTCACACCAGTCTGTTTCATCGAACCCCATCGATGAACTTCCTCAATCAGTTCCTTAGAAAACGACTCGTATAGTTTCTTTGCCGCCATATATTACTTGAGATCTTAAGAATAATCTATTGAAAATGGAAGAAGGCGGTATCTACGAGGCAAGTTTCACCCTTTTTATCCATTCATCCATCTTCTGACACACTCACTCACCACCACAGCAACAGAGAGAGAAAGATGGTACCGATCCATCATCAAAATTCAAAATTCAGATAAGGAGAAAACAAAAACTGTCTCTTACTCTCTTGCTCGGGCGGCTGTTGCCTAATATTTAGCCTAAAAAGGGATGGGTATGCCTGACTCACACTCACCACTCAGACAACTCCTTTAATTCTCTATTCCCCTTCTCTCCTTCCATTTTCACATAAATTACCCAAAATTATAACACACGTGGATGACATATACTCCACAAACAATTCAAAATATACTCCCTCGTTTTAAACGAAACGACCTATTTTGCCAAGTTTTTTTTTAAAAAAGAAAAGATTATTCAATCTTATAGTCCTAAATTAAAGTTATGACAAATACTTCATCCGTCTAACAATAGTCGTCTACTATATCGCGGGTGAATCATTTAGGTTGTACCAACAACACAATGAGACTCGTATGCTTTTCATGGGTGCACTATTAATTATATCATAATTTCTATCACTTTCTCAAGATAGATATACATATATACACATGATTTTTTTTTAAAATTAACGAGTGCACGTGCATCCCTACCTAGAGGGGTTGGTCTACCTCTGACCCTTGCTATTAAATAGTAATGTCGGTTAAAGGTAAATCACCCACAATAATGAGTTAAGGTTACTTATAGAAGTATCTCACGAATGTTTAATGATGTTAAGCTTGCATTGACCATGTTTTATGAATTGTGTCTTCCAACCCCCTTCATCTTCTGTATTAGCTTGGTCATTGCATGTTATGTCATGAAAAGTTCCTTTTGCATGATTTTCATACTTTTATGCATTACTATCATACTTGGAACATTTTTGTACTCACACATACTCTTTGCCTACATTCTTCCAAATATAGGGTCTGACGCTCCAGTTTTGCATCTCCGTGGATAGGGATCACTTAGTAGATATTGAAGATTGGTGAGTTGTAACACCCTGCTACTAGAAAGACTTAGAATTAGAAAGAAACCGTTTTTGGAAATAATCAAATTTGAAAAATTTGACAAAGTTAAGCTAAGTATGAGTTTTGGGTAAACTTCAAAGAACAATAACTCCTAGCTCAGGATGAGTTATGTAACACCCCTAAATACTAACCAAGAGTCGCATGTCGATTTACCGTTGCTTAACTACTAGAATATGTTTTACTCTCATTTTGGGAACTTGAAATGTTGTGATAATTGCTAACTTGCTTAACATAAATTGTGATCGTAATTTAAGGTATTGTATTGAGGTATTTTCGTAATATTCTAATTAGAATTATGTATAACTATAAAAGGAGGTGAAGGATATATATCTATAGGTGTATATGTATGCTTTTTGGGCAACACACAAATATTTTAGGCAACACCTTTGAAGGACAACTGTCCAAGTGATAAACATCACTTGTTTGACTATATATTTTCACACCTCCTTTAGTAAATTCGTTTTCCTCAAGCCTTAGAACCTTAGAAACATATCTAAACAGATTGTTCTTCAAAATCACAAGAGAAAAACTTGGCCTTTTTGGTTGGAATTCGAGACACACACCTTTTTGGTAAGTGACGAAATCTGTTTCTGAGCTGGGTAGTGTTTGGTATTTTATGCTTATCTCTTGCTCTAGAACTTAGTTTACAGTAAATAAATATGATTTAGAAAGCTAATTTGTAGACTTACAATTCTTATGTTTATGTAAAACTCTGATTTAGCTGTTATGGATTCGAAAAATGGGACGCAACATAGGACAAGTTCTGTTTTGATTTTGAAATTACAAATCCTGTATGAACAACTATTAGTGTTTGGAATATATCTTGTTGTACAAAATATATTTTGCGGTGATTCTTGTTTGTTTGCAACCCTAAGATATGTATCTACATCTTTTCATGAAGGTTATAAAGTCTAGTTTTGCCATTTTCTTTTTCTAAATCTAAGTTGCGACATGAGGTACTAGGCTGGCCAGAATCACTGTTTTGGGAGCATAGTCGTATTTGTACAGGCTAAGCTTACTTGTGAGGATAGTCCTATTTTACATCAACATTATTGAGCTGCTAGGGATTAAAGAAGTTATTTAATTGTATTTTTAAGGTTGTATATACTCGTGAACAAGTTGAGGACCTTGAAACGTTGGTTGGTATATTGTCTGAACTCGCGAAGTTGTGTTGGACTGTTTCTTTTCTAAATCACTGAGGTTTGTGTATAAACTTGCATTTTCACTCTTTTAAATGCTGGTATATCTGAAGGTTGATCTTGGTTACCTCTTGTCACTTTGCATTGTCGTGTTGGTATCCTATAAGACATTAAGGACACTTGTGTAACTCGCCCACTTGTACAGATCGTTTGATCACTTGGCACTCTTGTTGGGACCTTGTCCTTCTCGTGGCTGTGACTTTGTCAGTATTGACATGCCTCTTGATTCGGATCATTGGTCATCTTGACTCTGGATTTTTAGTGTGCCTTAAGAATGGAAGTTGTCCACTTTAAGTA